ATATATATATATATATATATATATATATATATATATATATATATATATATATATATATATATATATATATATATATCGTTAAAGTCAAGCTTTATCTAGTCACTGTTCTCAAATGATAAAAAAATATGAGCATGTCGATTTCACATGACGATCGAAGACAATATTGTACGCAACACTCACCTTTGCTTACTACTTTGTCTCTTTTTCCTTATAGGAAGTGGTGTGCATCCCTTTAATGGAGCGGCCACTATGAACGATACACAAAATCTATCGTTTGATAAGCAAAGATTTCAGAGAAAAGCTTTAATAAGCTGTTATTGTAATAGGAAGTCTCGTTATCAAAGTCTGTGGCACTACAAAAAGGACTTTAACAAGTCATTGCCATGTGTTCACCGGCAAGATAAAGAATCATCTCGGTTGGATCAGTGGGCTGTAATGGCGGAGCACTAACTTGAAGAAAGGCAACAAAGAGCTTCTATCATATAAGAACAGTGTCGAGGAAAGATCAACACCAAAAGCAATGAAAAGTTGAGGAGCACTACACCTTATCACCCACCATCTTTTTATTGCCCTATCACCACCACTAGTTAATGTTATCACTTGCACAACATGTAGTTTAACTTTTTTATTTTCATATAGTGTCATCTCCCTAATCTAATCCTACTCTCTAATCTAAGATAGTCCATCAATCTTTTTATATTATTATTCCTATTAAGACATTTAAGTTGGTTAATACATTGTTATCTCGAACCTATATACGAGCATTATGTATATTATTTATGATTAATATTTTTTTTTTAAATAATAAGATCGGCGTTTGATGACTCGCAAGTGAACGCAATGTATTTATTGTTTTGTTTCGTATTTTATTTTTTTCACGAGAGAATCCCTACGATTCTTTTAATGTTTGTGAAATCTAATTTTATATTATTTTTTTTTTATTCATAAAATATTTGTATTAATGTTTGTTTGTGTGATTTCGAATTTACACTTTGGTGGGGTAACAAAGGAAGTTTGTCCTTTGTTTTCACTAATATGTTCATTTTCCTTGTAGATTCCTATATGAGATTATGAGAAGAGTGTCATGTACTTAAGCAAAATTAGCTAAATCGATAGATCGGTATCTTTATGATCCGCACAAATACTTATGGATGGTTGGATTTACACCGTCTATTATCAATATCGAGGAGTTGTCATTTTTTTAATATATATTTATGGTTTGTACTCTTAGACGATAGACTTAATATCACATTAAGATTATTTTTTACGATCTAAATAATTAGTTTCATGTCAAAAAAAAATCTCTACAGGATAAAATACATATATTAACCTCATATAGACAGGAGCTCCTTCTCCTTCCATTTGAAAATAAAGTTCTTTTTTTTGAAATAATCTTTCTTGATTACAATTTTCTAACTCAGAATTGGGATATTTATTGGGGTGCACAAGAAACCATTGTCATCAAGCCATGAATCCATGTTGGGCCTTTCAAGAAGTTTGGCCATGAGAGGATTTGGTTGGAACACATCTTGATCTCAGAATAGAAAAAGGAAGAAAGTTTCTGAACTAGCAAGCAGTCTTACAGATGCCACACATGTTGTTCACAGCAGAATGACTGTTTATTTCTTCTCTACAGCCAAAGTACTTGTAGGAGTTTATACAATAAGCCCTACAGCAACATGAGCTTTGAATCACACATACAAATAGGTTTCTAGGTTTCTATCCAAGACCAACAATTGCACTGCAGATTTGCTCAATGATCACAGTGGTCTCCCTCATAATCATTTCACATCTATATATATATATGAAGAGAAATTAGCCTGATAGATTCAATTAGATGATGAGGAGTAGTACAGTAGCTAGTGATATGCCCGGAAGTCCTCATCATCCATCTTCCACAGAGGGTAAGAGCAATACTCCCACAAAGGAGAAGGGATTGCGGAACACATACCGTCATAGACTTCATCCTTGCATTCCCCGAAGCTCAGCCCGCTGATCATGTCAGGCATCGCAATCTCGTTCCAGATCTGATCCATGGAGTAGTCCTCGACAGCATCATCACTGATCTCTCCGAGCGCCGAAGTACTACTACTCTCCGCCACAACTTCCGGCGGAAGCTCGATTTGAGCGGCGGAGATATAGGTGAGCGACGACGACGGGCACGGCTTCCTCTTCCGCTCTTGAGCCTTCTTTCTCGTATGAGTCCTCCAGTAGTTCTTGATCTCGTTATCGGTGCGGCCTGGGAGCTTCCGGGCGATCCGAGACCACCTGTGTGAGCACGTTATGCACGATGCATGGGGAGCGATGGAAGCTTAATGGAGCGTTCGGAGGATGTGTCCAACCTATTCCCCAAGCGAGAGTGGAGCTCGAGGATGAGGCGCTCCTCCTGCGGGGTGATGCGGCCGCGTTTGAGATCAGGATGGAGGTAGTTTACCCACCTTAACCTGCAACTTTTGCCTGTTCTATTAAGACCTACAACACGTCAAACCAAAGGTGAGCTTCGTCCTCCTACAGTCGCCGAAGTAAGCCTACCTATCCTCCCCCCTCAAACCTGAGACTTTGGCTATGAAATCCCAACGACGGTCACCGAATAAGCCCACAATGCGTACCAGTTGCAGGTCCTCCTGCTCGCTCCACGGCCCCTTCCGCATCGCCATCTTATCGATCTCTTGCTGCTTCTCTCGTAGCTCCTCCACGGCTCGGCCCACCACTTGGCTTCTCTTGATGAACTGCTGCAGCTACCGCACTACTCCTTTCTACATAGTTTGAAAGCTTTGGCTGCACTACCTCTCTTATTTATAGGCATGCAGTGGTTGTCGTGGCTCAGCGATGTCACAGGCACTCACGAAGCAAGTGGATCCGTCTCATAGATACCAGCTGAATTCTGGAGAGTGGTCCTTGGGACTGCAGGGACGTGTTAATTGGTGCCGTAAGCAAGCATCATCCATACATTGGAAGGAACAGTTGGGTTGCTTCGTAGTCTGATTTCCGTGTCCCTGGGATGGCATACATTTGTAGGACGACCTGCCTATCAGTTCTTTTTCCTATATGACTCCCTTCTTCCCAAATGATAATGTAATGTAAAGCTCCCTTTTACGTATGGAGCAACATCAAGCTTGCATGCACAATGTTTTGTCTTGTTCCCCTTCTTTTTATCCAAGGTTTCATCATCTTCGTGAAGTGGTGCGACTTTAATCTGTGATGGGTGCGCACAAACCCAGCTCACCGTGATGTTGATGTGGAGGGCGGCACGCTCGCTGCTCGTCGAAGCAACACAAGGCTTCGGTGCTTAGTCTTTTATGGGGATCAAAATCAAACACCATGGAAGCGAAAGCTAAGCCATCCCGAGGTGGAGGCGACCGGTTCGTTTGTGGGCAGCCCACTCACCAGTCTCAATCTCTCTCTCTCTTTATCTCTCATTGTCGTCACACGGAAGAAGAAGAAGAAGAAGAAGAAGAAGAAGAAATAGGAAATAGCCGTCTTGATCCTTTCTAGATGCTGCTGTACCATCCCATTGACTCTCTTTTTTTCTCTTCTGTTTGTTGGGATGCATTGCTTGATTGATCCCCTCAAGTTGTCTGAGATCTCTCGATGGGGTTGAGGAAGAACATGAGCCGAAAGGGAGGGGTTCACAGCTTTGTTGGTGCTGTGGCAGGTTGCACTATACAATGTCTTGCTCAGGACTTGGCTTTCCTACGTCAAAGGCCATCATGGCGATGGCGAAAAGCCTCTTTGAGGGTATATCTCACTTGTCTCGATCAACAAGTGGGGTTCAGAGTCTCGGCAGCCGATGGAGGTACAAGATCAAGATCAACTCTGACATCGTAGTTTAGTCCATGGAAGGAGTTGGAATTAGATTTTTGGATCAATAGATTGATGAATCTATTATAGGCGAATTCCTTAGATTATACCATTAGATTCTTTAGTCATCAGTTTCACCAGTTTGGACCATGAGGATGAATTGCCATTGCTTAGAAGCTTGCAGTGGTCCATTCTAATAGATGCTTATGGCACCAAATCTCTATGATGACATTGTTGACTAGTATTGGTGTTATCAGAAAAATGTTTGTCTCTGATGATAAGCAGCAGCATCAGTCCCATAAGTTGCTTCTGTTAATGTTTATGCTCCCAGTGGATTCTAATGGAGACAAGCATGATCATATTTTATCTGAGTGCATGTTTTCCATCACAAAAATAGAACTACTTTGGCAACTTTTAAGACTAATTAAAAAGATTTAGATGAACTGCTTCTTTGATAACTTAATTGTGATAGCGATTTCCATGTGAGCAGATGCCAAGAAGTAGTTTCTCGGAGAAACTTATAATACAGTATAATAGATCATTAATTTAATTATATATTATTAACATTTTATCGTCATTGGTGCGAGAGCATGAGTTCGTACGATTTTATCCTTTTAGGTAATCCTCAGAACATACGTTTGACGGTAAAAGTGATTATAGAGGCTTATAAACCCTCGACTCCTCTGTTCCTTAATCAACTTAAAACTATGTATAATTAGAATTTGGTGTCCTCAAATAATTTGGGAATGGTTGGGCTGCTCTCCAGGATGAAAAGTGGGTAGGAGGCTCCATCAGTGATGGGCCTCTAAAATGAATACCATGCTGAATGTTTATGAGTTATTGCATTATTGTAGAACAAAATATTAGGATAATTGGGACAATATGTTGAGTATATTCCTAATATAACTTAAACTAACTTTAAGTCTTGGAATTACTTGTCACCTAATTGAAAATATTTATATGATGATATTTAATTAATGTTTATATAATGTTCTTAAAATAAAAAAAATGTTAAAGTTTAATATACATAAGATCATTTCTTAATAATTAAAAAAATTAATTCTTCTCTATTTTAGTTCAATCGAACTTTAAATCGATAATGAATCAAAGTTATTATTCATAAAATCATCGATTTCAATTTCGATCGTGGTTTTAGTTCCGAATCACTTATTTTATTTTTTAAAAATTTATAATATATTTTTGAATTATTATTTATTAAACTATTAGTTGGATAAATTCATTCTAATTTAAATTCGATTTAAAATTACTATCCGATTCGATTTTAATTTTGGATGGATCCCATTCGGATATGAACCGAAGGCCGTGGGGCTACGCCTACTCTTCCTCGGTCTTCCAAGCGGAAAGTTCACATGGTGGGCATGCTTCTCAGAGCCATTGTTCGTCCGTCCCGGAGACAGAGCAAGTGATGGGTCTCCTCTCCTCGTCACAGGATGAGATTGATATGACGAAGGACATGACCGCGGTACTTTAAAGAGTAGGCATCGTCTCCGTGGAGTGTAAATACACAGTGACAGGAATGGCTAGTGAGCCTGTGCATTGTTTTTGGTACACCAGCGTTCGTATCATGTGCTCACGAGAATTGAGGCAACAGCTTCTCCTTTACGACTTGCTCCCCAGCATTGCTCGTCTTCGTCTTCGTCTTCGGTGCCCGTGCAGCAAAGATTCTTACGGCTGTTTTCTTATGGGAGTTTGTGAACGAGGGGAGAAAAAGAAGATGAGATTTGTATTGTTGTATGTCAGGTTTTGTTCACAGAGCTCTTTGTTCTTTTGTCTTTCATGAAATCATTAATTTTTTTTGGATAAAAAATATATGAAACGAATTTTCAGAAAAAAAACGAATGGAGATTGGTATTTGTAATCTTCTTTTTTTTTAATATATAAATATTTTTTTTCTCTTTTTGTTTGTCATTCATTTTTTTTTCTTTTACCCTTTTTTTTCGGATCAATATCGAGTAAGATTGATTGACATTAAGTAACATCAATAACAAACTATACAAGTATCAATAGATCATCGTGCATATGGTATGACATCAATAGTGAGCAAAAAGACGACGAAGAAGATGACAAGTAGCATTTGTAATCAGAAAAGTTGATGATAACGATATTGATAGGGAGAACATTCACAACGATGGTAATGAAATAAGGAGTTATGGGAAAGAAAAAAAAATCGATAATACTATGATTGTAAATAATAAAATAATATTTTATTTTTAGAATTTCTTAATAACATGCTTTTTTTTTGCCAAATATCTATAATACTCTTAACTTGACAACTAGCCACCAATTCCTTTTTTCTATCTTTCCTTTTATATATATATATATATATATATATATATATATATATATATATATATATATATATATATATATATACAGGTCCAATTATGATGTTTTTACACTACTATAATCTTTTCAGCAACACAAGAAAAATATTATAACTTAGTGCAAAAAATACTATAACATAATATTTTTATATAAATTTTATAAAAACATAGTGTTTTTAGGCTATGTTATAATGTTTTCATGATACTAGGAAAATATTGTACATAATGTTTTCACACTATGTTATAGTGTTTTTCTTATATTATTGAAAACACTATAACATAATATAAAAAGACTATAATTTGACCCCATAGAAAAAAAAAGGAGAAATGAGATAAGTGAGCGAGAGTATTTTATATATTAGACAAAAAAAGAAGAAGTAATATTAGGGAATTCTAAAAATGAGAATACTTCTCAGAAAAAAGCCAAAAAAGAAAAAAGTTTTTTTTTCTTAAATTCATCCAACAATGTTCTTTAATTTTGAAAGGAATATGAAAAAAAATTCATAAATGAGATTTTCACTTACCATGAAATCTAATGCTTAGTGAAGTAATCAATTTCCCTAATTATTTATATACATAATAATCATCTAAAGAATTATGAAAATCTTGAGATTTTAGAAGAATTTGGTTGATAGTGGAAGACAGAATTTGCTTATCCAGACAGGTAATGGGGGAAAACAATGGTAAAGAATTGGTAGGTGATGCACTTTTGAATTTGATTCTCTGATCTCTGTTTCCAAGTTCAAAAAATTAGATTACAAGGAAGAACATCAAGTCAAATTCCACATCAAACGGGCTCAAGAGTTGACTGATTTAATCATCTGGCGCCATCTTCTTTCTATGTTTTTTGAGATCAGCAATGGCAGAGGCTGCTGCTGGTCCTCCTGATTCCTCTTCCTCTCTGTCACTCTGCAAGATGGACAGAAGGAAAATGCTGCAGGCGTTACAGGGAATTTTGATTCTTTACTTGGTACTGGTTGACTTTGGTGTAATTACACAGTCCCTTTGTCCTCCTCTACATCTTCTTCCCTATATTATCCACCTGAGATAGACACCACTTATGGTTGATCATTTCATCTGTGTTCCTCGCCTGACGTTTTATGTGCAGTAATCGCAGCAGCCCATTTTGTTGCTAGGATTCAACAATGGCGGCTGCTTACAGAGGGAGAGCTGAGCATTCTCGGATTGAGAGGGAGACGAGTCCAGCGAGAGCTGCGGTGGTTTACTACCTATCGAGAAATGGGCACCTGGAGCACCCTCACTTCATGGAGGTCCCTCTCTCCTCATCATCAGGACTCTATCTCAGAGGTGTGTGTGTGTGTGTGTAGGTGCAAATGAGCATTCATCTCTTTGGTATTTAGTTCCTGAACTCTTGTGTGCGCTCCTTCTACAGATGTCATCAACCGTCTCCATGTCCTCAGAGGGCGAGCCATGGTTGGTTTGTACTCCTGGTCGTCCAAAAGGTAAGAGCTAAGATTGCAGACGAGTGTCGCTGCTGATCTTACTGCTCTTGCGCTTGCCTTTCGTGCTAAAAGCTTTGCCTTTCTGCGCATCAGGAGCTACAGGAACGGGTATGTGTGGCAAGATCTCTCGGAGGATGACTTCATCCACCCTGTTCATGGCAATGAGTATGTGCTCAAAGGAACGGAGCTTCTCCACCTCAACTCCTCTTCCTCCTCTGGTTCCCAGGAACTCTTTCTCCCTTCTTCTACCATCTCCAAATGCGCGCAAGAGGATTCTGCTGTCTCCTTTTCGAGAGGGAAGCAGGCCACCCGGAGCTCTTTCTACAAGAGCAACACGAGCGCCGAGACCACTGCAAACTCCATCGACGCGTCTACTCAGACGGAGGAGCACAAGAGGCAACAGCGGCGAGCTCCCGTGGCCGAAGTGGAGCGAGCGGAGAATCCCAAGTCTGCGAAGGTGGCGGAGAAGCACCCCGCGACCGAACTCAGCGGAGACGAGGTCTCGCCGCCACCTTCGTCGTCCAGCCCGGAGACGCTGGAAGCGCTGATCAAGGCCGACGGCCGCTGCATTATGGCGGTCAGGCCGGAAGAGAAGGGGTGGTCGGTCGGCGGCTGCTTGAGCGGGAGAGTGAAGGCCTCCGCGGTGCTGATGCATCTGATCTCGTGCGGTTCGATCTCAGCGAAGGCGAACGGGTTGTCGTTGATGCCGCAGTACAGCGGAAGACTCGATCGTGCCGAGTCGATGGGGCACATGCCGAGCTTCCGGTCCATTAGTTTGGAGGACAAGGAGGTCTTCACCGACAAGATGCGTGGTGATGATGACGATGGAGAGCTTCCACCGGTCTTGAAGAAATCCTCATCTTACGATGCCGATCGGTAAGCTTCCACTCTCCCTTCTTTTTAAGCTAAACATCTCATTCAGGAATCATCACATGTAGATGGATTCGATCTTGTAGTTTGAATGGAATTGTTGATTCATACACTAACGTAGTAACAGCTTCTTTCATGGATTCATGACCAGGGGCTCGAAGATGAATCTGGCAAAAGAGGTAGAAGACGACCGTGCCAGATGCATGCCAAGAAAGGCCAAGACAAGAAAAGAAGGGAAACCACAGAAGTAGAGATCCATAGTCTGCCGATGATCGAGCAGAGCATTCTTCTTGTATCAAAGCAATATTAGGTGCAGACATGATGGACGAACCAGTTGGCCAATCAGAAGCAAGAATTGAGATGTTGTCCTTAACTCCAATTTTAATCTCTCTATCTAAATCAAATATCCCTTGGGATTGGATGAACGCTTGTAGCTAAATCCCATCTTCCTATCCCCGCAGTGCTAATGCTTCCTATACTTCAAATCATAGGTTCCATTTCCATGAGGCTGCAACAGCATGCTGAACTGTAAAGAGAACCTTTGTCCTCATCAATGTCTCCATATTTTGACATATGAAGCCACCGAAAGCAAAAGGCGACCATGCACGAAGAATATACCCCGTGATGCCTTCCTTCTTCGTCTCTTCTTCTTCCTCTTCGACACGCCCTGTGATGGCTTGCTTCCACCCCTTTGTCCTCAACTTCAACGCTTTACCGAGATGGGTGTGTCACTGTTGCTATCAGTCTCAAACATTTGAGAGACATGAATCAATTTGTTCCATTTATACACTATATGATTCGTACAAAACGCGATTAGTCTCTTTTATCTGCCAGCAGCATTTTAACACCAATAGAGGGGACACGACGCGCCAATTAATCTATTCACAGCATTTATCTCCAGCACACAGATATAAATCAGATGAAAAATCCAAATTTTCAGCATTCTACTGATCAAATATTAGGATGCATTGGCTTGATGGGATTTCACCAAAACATTCTCAACCACCGAGAACAAAATTAATGATGCCTATGAAATGGGCCAGTCTGATTTGTTCAAAATCAAAACTCAATCCAAGACAATGAAACAGCTACACCAATCAAAAATTACTAAGTTCTTCAACCGACCAAATCATGAATTCTAATTCTGATTTGCTACCTTAGCAAAACCCCATAATCTAGTAGAAGAATCCGAGTACTTTTCCACCAACGTTCTTCCTCCGAGCTTCTTCATGATCCATGATTCCAGCAGATGTTGTCAGCACAATGTAACCAAACTGCATTATGAGGATAAAAAAACTCATGATTCGTATCTCGAAACTCAGCAACAGTAATGGGAAATTATCGAAAAAGCATCATATCCCATTACCAGTTCAGTAACTTTAAGAGTTCAATAAATATCAAGAACTCATTGGGGCTACTTACCTGACGTGATGGAAGTAGTCTGGCAGTCCATGGCTCAATCTCTTTGACACCAACATCAAATCGTGGGCTAATGACACCACATTTGTTCAATCTCCCATTCAACTCAACAACTATCTTGCCAGCTCGGTGGTCATCTACGATTTCAAACTCACCAATATATCCTGTGGAAATAAACATGCACTCAAATCATTAAAAAGAATTACTCTAGTACCACCACCAAAACATTGTTAAAGCACTAACCATGCTTCTGCATGACAAGGAGGAACTTGATTATCACTTTAGAGGATGGTCTAATCATGACCTGCCGCTTTCCACGCTTCTCGGCATTGTACATGCTCTTGAGAGCATCATTCAAAACACTGATTCTCACCATCTTTATCAAATCTGCAAAAGAACAAATGACCATGCATATTTCACCAAAAGGCAGATACTCAGAATCAGAATCCGATGGCCCATGAGAAAAGGTGAGCGCTTTCCATAACTTATTAGCTAGGCTGCAACCATTGTTAGAATAACTTTCAGCAAAACCCCCGCTTGCTTATCAAGCCACATTACTAACCTAAATATGAAAATTTTCTTACATGAACCATAATAACTTCAAATTCTAAGTTGTTTGAACAGATACATGCCGATTGGCACAATTTGGCCTACATATTTGCTCACCCTAGTTATGTTTAGGTCCATAAGTATCAGCTGGTTTATGATTGATCAGGTACAAGAGACACTTGGACAATCAAATCCAAAACTCACCCAATTGTAACACCTACTTTCTTTACAATCAATACAACCATGCCACAGCCCAGTTTTATTCTGACGCCGACTACCCATGTTTCTCAAACCAGGCAGACTAACGCATCCAAACAAAATAGAACATTGAGATCAACCTTTTTGAAACATGAGTGGATCATCTGATCCGTCTGCTGGGTAATTTCAACAAGCATAAAATGTTGAAAAAAACAATATGGTACAAAAATTAACTAAATCATAACAGAAGACAACTTGTGCTGATACACCAAGCAAAGGATACCAGAAGTGTAACAACGACATGTCAACAAGAAAATGCAAAATAATAAAAAACAGGAGGTGCTCAATGTGTACAATTGACATATGGTCAACGATGTCTTGCATAAATCAACAAACTCGACCAAAAGAAAAGAAATTAAATAATCCACGTTACAAATAGATCTGACAACACTCGAAATGTCAATAGTGGACATGTGAAGAGATGCAATTTCAATATTTTGATGGACACATCCGCGAAAAAATCACAGTTTTCGAGTCTTTCTCTATTTGCTTGTGCCGCACAGCAAAGAGGAGTTCTTTCACGGTTAGTAACTATCAATAGAAATCAGGCCATATCGAATGCATCAGAGACTTGCAAAGGCAGCAATACTGCGGAATAGATGTTTTAGTTTCTAGAAATAGAATAACACCTATCCGATAGATAAGCAACGATTTTGATTGGAAGAACCAAAAACCATATGAGTAAACAAAGATCAAGAGTACAGATGATATGGAAACCTCCAGATCTGGTGAATGCTACAATAGAAGATATAAAACATAAATCAAAATAGCATTTCCATCTCTAAGCAGATCAATCTAATTCAGAGAACGAACACGTATACACGAAGGGAAAGCGAAGATGAAACCAAAAAATAAGATTGCACCTTTGCAGTGGCGAACTCGGCGAGAAGAGAACCAACCGAAACCCTTGCTCGACAAGAAGAACAACAGCGGGGGAGAAGACGGGTGTGGCGGCCGGGGTTTATATGCGAAGCTTCTCGTCACGTTGATTTAGTGTTGTTCCTAGCCGTTGGATCGTGATCAAACGGTAAGTCCACGGTAATGAAACAAGTGCCCTAAAAGTCTTAAACGAACCGGGCCGGCCCATAGTGCTTCGGCTTGATCCACATGAAGCCATTCAACGACTCGACCCGGCTTAAATAATCCATTTGAATCAGATTGTTTGTGATGTAATTGGACCTAATTCAACACGATTCATTAGCTATATGAGTTGAGTTCAGATCAGGAAATCTTGACCGAGTCAGATTTGATTTGGCTCTGGTATTTTGATCCAACTTATCTAATTGTTCTTAGAGGATTTGGTTTTATATATATATATATATATATATATATATATATATATATATATATATATATATAGCCTCATTCTTCTCTTGTGATCTTGAAGTCAAATATAATTGATGCATCAAGAGAGAGATAGAGAGAGAGAGATGCTTTCTCGACCTTCCAACTTAGTCAATATATTTGATAGTCAAAGTCGATCTAAAGTTTCAATAGCATGATCTTGAGTTGAGTTAGTTATTTTTTTTCTAAAAAAATATTAATATTAATTTAGGTTTCAAATTTAATAATTCTACAGAAAAAAACCATTTTGGTGATTAGGAAAAGAAAAATGATCACTGATCTAATTCAAATACTTCTAAGAAATAACACAATAAAAGAAATTAAAACACACAAGACATTCGAATATGGATTCAAAATCCATACCTATTATTTATGCAATAATAGACTCAAATCTGTGCAATAATAAACTAACCACTAAATAATCAGCATCCATTTTCATGTGGAGATTAAATTTGCTTGCAGCAGTCCTGTGTAAGCTTGGTGGCACAAAGAGAGAAGATTTGTATGACAATAAGCAGTAGAGAAAGAGGTTTTTAAGTGATCGACCAAAATAACAGCTGAGGGGCATTTACTTTGATACATAAAGTTGTCAAGAAGGGAAGATGGTATTACCAAAGTAGTCATCAGGCAACACAGCTTACACAATTTTTTCTTTTAATCTCTGCATGACATTCTAAAAGTGTTTACATGTAAAAGATTTGAACATAATGTATAAAGGAAGGAGAGAAAACTGGTCATGTTACAATTAAGAGTTGGAAAAGCTTTGGCTGAAGAACATATCACACTAAATATTTTAAACAAGAGTTAGGTGGATAGGAAAGAGTCCTCTTACAGCAGACAAGCTCATTAACCATCAAATATAGTACAAAAATATATTGCTATGATATTAAGTAGTTGACATCATGGATTTTCAGGAAAAAAGAGGATTCTCATCTTCTTTCAATGGTTACTTTGTCTAATCTTGTGACTATCAGAAATGCAAATTAATACCTCTACTTCTTTAAATGATGTCATTTTCCTGATAAATATATTTCGATTCCTTAATGTGACATTTCTCAACTGCTATATACTGTCTCGGAGTGTCTCACATTTTATTATTGTCTAGCAATGAATACACAATCCAAATATGTTGTGACGATGTGCTTATATTGCAATATGCATTCATACTTTCCACATGATAGTGTGAAAGATTGAAAACACACAATGGATCAACTACCAACAGTATCATAGTAAGACTAAAATAATGCTTCACCCAAAACTTTGCATTTCTCATTCGTATGACCGTTCATTGGAAGTATTCATCCTCTCATTTGTTTTCCCTTCCAACGGAATTCAAAAGAATGACTCCGCAACACAATCATGAGCAGAAATGAAATGTATGGACAAAGAAAAGAATTCTTCTATCTAGTGTTCGCATGACGACTATTGACATCATTGGATTGATACAGTTATACTTAGTGAGAGTACCTTTATATGTGGTTATCGGAATCAACCATCTGCAGATGAGAGTGATCGTGTTCCCCTGCATACTGTCTAATGAAAGCTCTCCTCCACCAGATCTCAAAGGCTCTTTGGATGTTGGGACAGTCATCACCTTTATTCAGAAAACAATCGAACCATCTCAACAAAATTGTTTGTTGTTCTGCCATAGGCAACGTCAATATTGTCGCAGAGAGCCCATCCTCTACCATCTTCTTGTTGAAAGTCCTAGAAGTTCTCTTCATCCAACCAAAGTCTTCAAAAAGAGCTTCCAGCCATGTCCTCAAAAGAGAAACTTTTGCATCTTTGGACACTAAAATTTGTCCTTTGCCGATTGCAACACACAGCTGAGCAGTGATCATGCTGATCTCAAATCTATATATGCATGGTATCTTGGAATGGCAAGTGGCAAGCCCACTCTGATTGGCCCACAAACTCACAAACTCATCAGCAATCCTCTTATCTATCAGAATGTCAACAAGCCACTGCACGTTATCAGCTTCTCGAGCGACCTCACCCATCAAGGCAGCACGATCCCCCTGACCTTCAACTATATTTGCAGCCTCAGATAACAACAGCATAAGACAATCCATATGTTTGTGGCACAATTGGTAAAGGGTTTCCCTCGGGACTTCAAGATTCTTGTAGCGGATATCACTTCGATTTAGGTCTCCCCTAAGCAAGCGAGCTATTAAGGCTTTCATATCTCGACGAGATTTCTTGTCCTTAGCTTGCAAAACACCATGCAGAACATTTACCACAATGGAGTCGGCATTTGCAGAAGTCGAAGGCTCCACCGAAACCCTTTGTAGGACTCGTTCGATCGACTCATGTAATTGCCGAATCGGAAGCTTGCTGAGAGTAGACATTACCTTCTCCTCCTCATCCTCGGACCAAGGTATGGCTTCCAAATGGTCAAGGCATGCCGAAATCCCATCGTCGAATTTTATATCTACAGATACCTGCACCACGAATTCACAAATTGCTTTACTTCTTTTTTTTCATCCTCAAGGAGATGCTTCTGCCAAAAGCATACTACTTATCACATTGAACCAAAAAAGGATAATATTTGAGATAATGTAAGATGGGCGAAACAGAAGTAAGCCTCTTGTTCTTCCATTACAGGTTCCTTAAGCTCAAAACAGCAATGAGCGTCCTCCATTAAAATGATTCTAAATCCCAAAACCAGATTTATGCATAGCAGCATCTGAATCCTTGAATCCACAACAGTAGATTCACAATGTCACATCAACAAAACACTTTTTATTTTCAATTCTATGATACCAATCGCACATCTTTAATCACTGTATAAATTGCTGTGCATGTCCTTTTACGCAACTCAAGATCATATTACTACTCGAAAAAGCAGCTAAAGAACCCTAAAAGAGCAACTTTACGATTGAACTTTATGAAGGGAATGAAGCAAAAAAGTGATTGTGTTTGGGAATGCTTTCTTTAAATCTAAAAGAGCTAACTTTGCCATGAGAAACCCTCGTTCTTCCATTAATCTTTGTGGCTAAAAGATTTGGGTAGAGAAGAAAGATTTGGGGAAAGAGGTGAGGTTACCTTGAGCAGTCCTAGAACCCTCTCGACGTCCTCACCGGCGAGGCTCCGCCTCAGATCGGTGGAGTACATCAGCCCCACCACCTCCACGTACACCTCCGCGTCATCGCAGTCGCAGATCTCCACCATCACCGGGCGCCCCGGCCCGCCTCCTATCCCCGCCAGCTTCTCCGCGAAGAACCGGCTCCCCGCCGCCAGCACCCGGCGGTGTACTGCCATGGGAACTCGAAACCCGTCGCCGGAGCTGACGGAAAGTTCCACGTCACCGGGGCCCTCCTTGGCGATCATCGCGGCGATCCTCTCCAGCAGACGGAGCCGCTTCTGGTCGCCGGAGGGGTGAGTCCGCGAGGAGACTCGGCGGGCGAGGTCCTCATGCGTGATCATCTCGAAGAGGGTAGGAGACTTGGGAGACGGGACCGAAGGGCGCGGAGGGGAAGGGTGGACCGCCGTCGCAGTGGCAGGCGGCGGAGGGGAGGACGTGGGGGAGAGGCGAGGGGAAGAGATGAAGCCTTGGCGGATCATAGCGGAGACCTCGCCGGACTTCAACAGGTTCTCGGCCGCCTCAGCCATATCAGGGCGCGAGAACTGAAGCGGGATCGGGTGCTCCGCCGCCGCCGGTCTAAACGGGAACGGAAGAGAGCGAGACGTCCCCTTTAGGCTCCTCTCGCAAACGACGCGTGAGAGGCCGGTCGGAGGTCAGACAAGAAGCATTCGGTGAGCGGATCGTTTTCACTACAATGATTAGACTGCGGGGAAACAGAAAGGCGGTTGAAATACAAAACAGCTTAATTTCCAATCATAAACAACCACGTACAGAAAATTTGATCATCCGCTGTTTGCTATGGTGGTAGGAATCAAGCGAGACGGATCAAATAGTATTCTGCGATGAGACTTTTGTTGGGATTAACGAGTAGATAGTGGCGACACATGACAGCTAAAAGCAGGTGGTACAAATCATACAATATGGTTGTTGCAGGTGATCCAACATGATGACAAGTAATACCTTCAGTACACTAAACGACACAAATGTCAGTTAAATTAATAGATAAATATTTGAACTGTATAATAAGACGATTATATGATAGGCAAGTATGAGTTTGGCCATGTCAAGAATTCAAAACTTGTTCTTATGGATAGTTAATGCATTTCTTTTGTTAATATTTGGGCCGGGAAATATATGTAAAATTGGAATTAGAAGTTAATTAAGCAAACATATATCTTTTTTAAGGAATTGTCTAATAGGGGACGGATTTAGTTAGAATTATTTAAATCGTGAGGTACTCTTATAATAAGTCACAGATTTAGCTAAAGTTACCTAAGTCATGAAGCATCGTTACATCAATTTCTCAAACTTAGTTAGGATTGCTTAAGTCATGATGCGTCCTTGCGATATGTGTCCACAAAGGGTCAGTCAATTTACAACCTCGCTCAGGTCTCGTAGGACTAATAAAAGAGAAAGTTAATTAGTTTAAAAATGAGCAGTGTACAAGTCCCGACGTTTCGCGAAGAAAAAAGTTTTACAAACAATTCAATGAGCATATTATGTGCATGAGAGGAAGGAGAAAAATAAGAACTTTAGAAGATTGAACGAAAAATAAGGACTTTAGTATTATATATATATATATATATATATATATATATATATATATATAATACTAATAATAATAATAATATATTAACTATCAATCATCATTTGACATGTAACCGTCACACGAAAGCTATTATGGAAGGAAAAGATCTAAGTCACCCTTTACTCATCTGCCCATGTGAATAAAAGTTCAAAACAAACAATTTGGAGCTATCTCCCTCTTACTGCCCACATGGACAAAATGTTAAGAGAAGAACGTTGGGACGATTACAAATTATCCTTTCCAAGGCTAGTATAAAAGCTAATCTTTGATACTATGTTAAGGGAATCTTTTTCCAAGAAAAACTCACACCCACTGAGAAACTTCAATCACTATGGAACCTTGTCGAATTTTTTTTTTTCAACATTGGTCTTAGTCTAGGTAGCACCCTAGGAGCTCGACACTTCCACCTCAGATACTCTTGTGTCATTGGGTTTAAACCACATTAGGTTGACTTAGATGTTGATGATGATTTTCCCTAGTATTTTTTGCGCTAAAAGGAGAGCCTGATGCGAGAACATTCGCCCGCCAATCCTCTCAATGAGCAATCTAACGAGAAGGCTTTGCCTTTAATCCATAGCACTTTTTACTTAAGGGGGGCAACTACCATCATTCTCTCGTGTGGATGCATCCATTTCGATGCAAACATTAGCATGGTACTGAAGTCTATTCAATGACTTAGGCCTTTTGCCCCTAGGGATAACCTTGAGCCACCTACTTATCTCTATTGAGATATTCCTAAAACTCACCCAACAAGTCCAGATGCTAACAAACATAATGCATGCTATCACTTGCTCCTACCTCAGCTAGCCCAACAAGCAACACCATCATCTCAATCATAATTAATACCTCAACCACCACCGGCACCGATGCCCATCGGGATTCCCCTATTCGATACAATGCTAGCATCTCAAAATCGCCCAAGACCTATGGAACTATCGGCCAAGAGAGTGCCCTGCTCCCTAATCGTGGAATTTAGTGCATCGCCACACACCTCATAGCTCTACCCGAATCCAAGACCCAATCAATAGACTCGTTGAATGACTTCTTAAGGATATAACTATGATAAATAGACTAACACTCAGAAGAGATAAGGTGAGAGCTCCAACAAGCCAAAGGGAAAGTCCAGTCAATCCCATCTTGGGTTAGTCCCTATTTACTCAAAACATTCAAGAGGAGTTAATCTCGATGAACTTTCACATCTTGTCACTGGAGGCTTTTGACAATATACTAATCCGATCGAGCATACTATCGTCTTTCATGCCCAGATGTCGCTATATGGCATCTCAAATACCTTGATGTGTCGCGTCTTCCCGACAACACTAAGAGGCTTGACAAAAGAATGATACACTTGCTTGAAGCCACTCTCTGTTGACTCTTTTGCTCAACTCACAAAGGAGTTTAAGTTCTACTTCCTCGGGAATATGTGCTCGAGGCCATCAATGATACTGCTTTTCGGACTCAGGCAAGGGGAGGAAGAAATGCTCTCTGACTTCATGGCTCATTACACTAACGAGATCCGAGGTATGCAAGAAGCTCATCTGTCATTGGTAATATAGACCTTTATGATGGAGCTCAAGCCCTCTTGCTTTTTTTGATCGTTAGTATCAAGTTAGGCGCGAGGAGACATGCAAAAGGCTAGGATAGGAATGACTACCGTCAGGCCCAACACTGGGATTACCACGACAAAGAAGAAATGACTAAACCGAACTAACTTGTTTGTGGTCCAAGTCAACTCCCTTGAATATGACTAGAACCAAAGTATTTTTATAAATAAAAGAAAAAATGGCTCTTAAAATATCCTCAATCGATGAAGACATAATTGGAGAGGAGGGACAAATCCAAGTACTACCACTTTCATTATGATTATGGCTATGACATGGAGGATTGTTGAGATTCGAAGGAGCAAATTGAAGAACTAATTCTTCATAGACAACTCGAGAGATTCATTCGGAGGTATCAAAAACCTTCGCTCCGACCTTTAAGAATCAACGAAAAGATAAATCGATATCATTATCGGTAGACCGATATCAGGAGGAGAAAATTCCTTGAGTTATAAAGCCTATACTTGAATTATCTTAAAAAAAATGGTCTAGATCGAGGAATTGACAACAACCTTCAAGCGGTCAGGGGAGATTGTGATGGAAAGAAGACTTCCATAACTATAATTAAAATGGTCGGTAAGATTTGATGGGATATATATATATATATATATAACGGAGGAATAAAGTTGTAAATTTGAAAAACAGTGGGTACAGCCTTTTCGAGCAAGCGGTCTAATGGCGGAGGTTGGTGAGTTTTTGATGGTAGGTGGGCGGTTGGGTTGGTAGGTTGGCCAGTACAAAACGTGTTGCGCTCCTCCTCCTCCATCTGCATCTCCTCCCCTGCCGTAGGACGCCTCTTGATTCCGTGCAGTGGTGGGGTGTTGTGGCATGGAGACCGCCGGCGCCGGTGCCTTGTTGTCCCGATCGGTCCTCCCCAACTTCGCTGCAGCTGGACAGGTGGTGCGGCCCCTCTGCGTGGCTAGGATGGCTCGGCGTAGTGTGGTGGCCGCGGCGCTTGAGAAGGGCGTGGGGTCGGGAAACGGTGGCCGTGGCGGTGCCGGAATGACCAACTCTAACTACGTGGTGCCGCTCGACACGGCCTCGTCCCTCACTCGCCCCCTCAATGAGATCCTCCGAGATCTGAATAAAAGGGTACCGGACCAGATCATCGATGCCGCCGACAACTCCATCCCTTGGTATCTCTGTTCTTCTCCTTTCCCATTTTACCTCGATATTGCTGCTCGTTGTGCGCATCTTACGTTGTGATGGACATAGAAATCATCTGTGACGCCACATAGCGTCGCAATTTGGTTCAACCCTAAGGATCATGAAACAGAGATTTGTTGATCCACAGTCGAAATATCTTCCTTTTTCCTTATTGAATTGGGTGTTAGGTTTCTTGTTATTATATTAGCATAGCATCTGTGGAAGGTTGATCTGGAATATTTTGATCATATTACTTTTGGGATGCAATGTATGTGGTCATCGACGATGGACTTCGTCTGATTAGGATCATCTCATTCTTTGTTGGTAACAGTATCATAAATCTCTATTGGAGTCGACAAGTTCAATTGAAACTTATTGGTTTTGGATTCATTTTTAAATGTTAAAGAGGAATGACTTCATTTTATTATCGTGGAAGTTCTTGAATGATAGTGAACTGTAATTTTAATTGAAAAGATTTAATTGACCATGGAGTATCCTAAATTTCTTGGAACCTTGCACCCAATATACTCCATGCACTGACTTGGTTTTGTGCACATTGGACCTTCAGTAGAGACATGTTTTGTCCATCATTTTTATCCTCGTTATTGAGGACACTCGATGATTAGTTTTTAATCGTGCGGGATCCTAATCATAGATGTTTATAGATGGAGAACATGCTGCTACTGATCCTTTGTGCAGTCTGTGGCTACTTTCTTGGCTTAACTGCTACATAAGCGTTGTTCCTTTGCTGGGCTAATTGAGTAGTTGTTTTACTTTTATATAGGTATCACACCAACAGAATGCTGAGCTTTTTTGCCCCAGGTAAAAAAATTCTTCCTTTGTGAATATTAATTAGCTATCAGTAGAGCACTTTTTCCTTTCATCATGTAAATTGGAGCAATTCCGATGTACCCTATTTTATTTGCATGGGTTTCACGTTGCTTTAGTTTTCATCTCAACTAATGCAACTATAGGAATACATTGCTCATTTTCAGTATGATGGTGCACTTATTCTGCATTGTGTTATTACACTTTCCATTTTTGCAGATTTGATTTTTCAAACTCAAGAGTTGTATGCATTTTTACCTTTTCTAATGGATTCCATCAACTAAAGTGATACGGTAGAAAGGTTAGCCCTCCAAGTTGGTCAGTCTACTGGGGCTGGAAATTGGTTGGGTTAGGTCGAAATGTGTACTAAAGATATAAAGGACTGGACTGAACTCGATGAATCTATAGCAAGGCAATAACTCTTGACCAAAAACCGACATATATATCTTTTGAATTGGGTTGGATTGTTTTGCTGGTTTCAGGCAAGTTTTGCATTATTCCTAGGAAACATATCATAGCAAAGCCGCACCAGGTTGAACTTAATTTTCAAGAACTAATGCTTGATCAATGCTTGACCAACCAGCCAGAAAAGTCTGTTACACCGTGTCGCTTGCTTTATTCAGTTATTGATTTGTCATTGACAAATAACTTTGTCTCTGATAGCTTGCGAGAGACATCTGACTGCATGTGGTATTTATCTTTTAAAGTTATTATTATGTTTGCCCCAAAAAATATATTTAAACTGTTTTTTTATTCTTATCTGAAGTTGACGATGGAACATGGATAATTTGTGTCATTTGTACAATTATAGAACATCTTGGATCTTAAATTGGCCCATCTTTTCCACTAAAATGGTTTATGGTAGTGCTCCATAAATCCTTTGATCAGGAATCACTGGTTTAGACTTTTAATTTCTTATCTCTTTCCTGTTTCTAGGATGGTGTGGAGAAGTACGTGATGTTATATTCTCGGACAATGGAAACGTGACAGTGGTGTATCGTGTCACCATAAGAGGATCAGATGGAGTGGTATTTCCCTCAGTTCATTTTTTTATATTTTTTCCACGCTTTCATTTCATTTATCTCTTTGGTCTTTGTGAGTGGGATGTTTTTTAAGAAAATAATATAAGCATGTTAATCACTCACATAGACTAAGCTCTGGAGGTGTCAGTGCTCCAACACAACCCAATAAACCTGAAGCGATCTGTTGTTCATGACTTTTTTTTTGCTGCATGGGATTATGACTTCTTGCGCCATTTCATCTGTACCAAGGCCACATCCTATTTAATAGTTGAATCTGACAAATGTTGTATATGAGCTCAATTAGACCCACACTGCACTTGGTTTGATGGCCAATCTTAAGCAAGTCTCTCACAACAGGCATGATTCTGGTTGATCATTCAGTGAATCTTAAGCACTGTCCACATAGCAACCAGGCTTAATTTTGAACTGAAGATGGTTCTTGATGGTTCAAATGCCAAGTTAGACAACTAGTGACTTCCCCATCAATAGGAACTTGATTTCTGCCCCCGGCATTCACTTAATTTTCTCTAAGATCCCTACTTTTTCAAGCACATTTGACCTCTGCATTTTAAACACCCCTGCAGTACATGCACCCAATAGTTTCTCAAATATGCCTTGCAAATTTTCTTATACCCATTATCATGTAGACCCAAATAATCGATGTTTGCCAATAAGTACACCAATGTACTCACTTGTAACCCTCATGCCAATGTGGAAGAAATTAAAGACTTTTCCTTGATTCTAGGGAGAGGGAATAGAGTTCTGCGTCAATAGAGGCTTTCCCCACTTAAGGACATTCAACATTATCATAAAAATCTGCATGTTTATCTATGTGGGAAACCAACCAACCTGCTTATTGAGACAAGTGAAGATTTGATTCCTTCATTTTGTTTCTGATTAGTGCTGCATGCTTGCAGGCTCACCGTGAGTCCGCTGGAACAGTGTCTATGAGCGATGGCCAGTTTAAAGACCCAGTTGCAGCAGCTGAAGAGTTGGCCTTCTGCAAAGCCTGCGCGCGATTTGGTTTTGGCTTGTATCTGTATCACGAGGATGAGGCAACAGAGAATAAGTCACTGTAGAGGGAGCAAATTTTCTGTTACCGCAGCATCAAGCAATCTTGTAGTCGCTCGTATGCGATGAATTACAACAAGAACAATATTTATTTTGGTTGAGCTGGGAATAGAACTTAATTCATCGATCCATTTCTTATCGATGTATTATAATATTTTATTTTATTTATAGGCTCAAGTATAAGATTTAAAAAATATATATAGAAATGAAGAAAATTATGATAATATCAAATCAAATATATGAAATGTTTCTTCTTTCAAATATTATAATATTCTTAACTTGATTTGAAGAATAATCTTTTTTGTGATATTATTAATTGATAGGCTTTCATATTTGTAGAGATGAATCGTTAACTTTATTTCTTTCACTCTTTTCTATATTTGTTTTTTTTCTTAGTATGTTGTCATGTGACAACTTATTATCTATAAACTAATAAAATTTATTAAAATAAAAAACTAAATTTATTTTTGTATCTTACCCTTTTATAATGTTGAAACTCGTCACGAGTTCATATAATTGAGATTTCGATCGACCATGATGGGAAAATCTAGTTTATATAAAATAGAACGAAGGTTTCTCGTCTCTTTGTACATGGACGGTAAAATTATTCTATCACTCACAGACAACGTGAGAATAGAACTTAATTCATTGATCCATTTGTAATTGATACATTTTAAAATTCTAACCCATTTTACAGGCTCAAGTAAAAAAATATAAAAAAGAAAAATCAAACATACGATCTATTTTTGCTCGTGCCACCGAATCCTCTTATTTTTGGACGGGGTTAGTTTAATGTGCTTAACTTTTTGGTGTGCTCGAATATTAAAGATTGTGTGTATATTTGCTCTAATTAGTAAGGTTTAATTTCTGTTTTGAAAAAAAAAAAGAAAAGCTTCGGCCAACTTTTCACCAATTTTGATGTATATTTCTACGGTTGATGCCATGGAAGAGTTCCGAAACTGGTGAGTTGGACCCGACCCACAACACCCGGTCGACAAAGCATTTCGACGGTGATGCAGCGACCGCCACCTCGGCTCAATGCACTTGACTTTTTGGTTCGCTACGATAGAACAATTGTCCATATTTTCGCTCTAATTTTTCTCTTTAAAAAAATAAGAAAAAAAAGCGCTAATCTTAATGTGTTTCTCTACGGTTGATGCCATGCAAGATGCGTGGGGTTCCGAAACGGATGCGTGGGGTTCCGAAACGGAGCGGATGCGTGGGGTTCCACGCTGTCATGCCTATCGGAGCGGATGCGTGGGGTTCCGAAACGGATCCACATCACCCGGTCGACCAAGCATTTTGACGGTGACGCGTTGTACGCAACTCGGTACTCATCTGGAATCATCCACCCAATACCCCCCTCTTTCTATATCAAGAGCTTCCCGAGTCGGCAAAGGGATCCCAGCGGGTAGAGCGTTAGGGAAGGGAAGGGAAGAGAGATGGCTTTGAACCCACAGCTCTTCGCCAACGGGATGCCCGTCCCCTTCGTTGGCGAGATGTTCGTGCTCGCCAGGGATGGCGTCGAGTTCGAGATCGACAAGATCGCCGGGTCCGTTCCAATCCTCGCAATCCCCCCCCCGTCCTCGTTCTTGATTTCTTTGTTTGTTTTAACCTTTTCCTTATAATTTCTTTTATCTTTTCCTTTCGATCTTGTGGCCGATGAGGAGAAAAAAAAATCCTTAGAACTTCGATTACAAGTCTGAAAGCTATTCCATGTTCTACATGTTCTTGTGATGCGAATTATGACTGATTAGATGTTATTCGATGTGGATTTTGAGAAATTTGTAAGGATAGACAAGGCATTCATCGCATCGTGTGTTGATCTGGAGAACCCTGTTTGTAAATTCGTTAGGACGTGGGGGAATTGTTGGAATTTTGGCGCACATAATGAAATCTTGGAATAGGATTTGCCAATTTTGAGTCCTTTACGGGGTACACAAGAAAATATGCGAAGGGTGGGTATAAATTGAGCTCCATTTAAGTTAATCCGGTTCAAGTTAGGTATTTGCATGGATGCTCGGAATTAGGATGCCTACCTTAAAATTTTTTCTAGATTAAGGCATCTATATAATTGCACACCATCACTGTCAATTTTACTCGACCTTTTATTTTCTGTTATTGGATCTATGACAAACACATTTCAGATGGAAAAAAAAAAGGAATTTTCTGCAACTATGAGTGGTAACCTGCCGATCCTGTAATTTTTGAATTGTGCATTCATATGTTTCAATAGATCATCATAGGTATTTGTAATTTCTGTGGTTGCGATAATTTTGACCTTAAGTTGACAGGTCTGTGTGTAATCTATGTATGATCATTGTTGACCTAAGATGATATTGTTTTTGGATGTCTTTCACAGTGATGAGATGATAATGTTAAAAGTAAGTTTGTAGTGTCTATTATACCTATATGTGATCTACATAAGCCATCACCTAGCTGTAGAATCCTTTGTGAGCACCACAGAAAACAAGGCAATTCACTAGGAAAATATCTGGTTGGTGATATGTAGGGAGTGCACTATTATTTCAAATTTCTGCAAATTCCTGCAGTATCATTGAAGGCTTTCAAATGTTCGCCAGTTCATGTTTACTATTTCTAGTTTTCCAAGTTATGATTGCAGTGTTTTCTTTGCACTTGCTCTTTCCAGGTAGGTGCCTATGTTATTATAGCCAAAAATTCATGTGAAATTTTTTCTTGTGCAATTTAAATCAAAATATTTAATTTGTGAAGGGTGTAGCAAGTAATGTCATGTGCATCTTTTAAAAATTGCAACTGACACTTTCTGTCAGGAAATTAATGTTTGTAACAATTGATTGCTGTATCTACATATATGATTTCGAAATTTGATGACATTGTGGTGTATCGGTACATGTATCTGGTTTTTATAAAACCAATTGCAGGTATTTATTATTACATGCATCATGGTTTCCATTTTTGTTAGTTGCCAGTGGATTGTGATTAAATGCGATTTTTGACATTCACATTCTGTTACACTCAGAGCAAATGGTGGTCATGTCAAGGCAAAGGGAACTATTTACTTGTCAAACATAAGGATGGTCTTTGTTGCAAAGAAGCCTGTAGGGAGCTTTGTTGCTTTTGATTTGCCTCTGGTACGAGCTTTCTGACTTGACATACATGTTGCTTGTTTTTTCTTAATACATAGCAATTTGAATAATACATGTTGTGATAGTATATTTCACTTCTCATATTCTTTGGTGCATTATCAACTAGGAACTTAGATGTGAAATTGTTATTGTTAAGTTGATTACTGCTGCTGGGGAGTCATGTCTGGATAGGATCACTGGGCAGCATTATCTCACATTTGTGGGAGCCTGGGCCATTCTTTTAAGACTCATGTTTCAAATTAGCTTGGGATAGAATGCAAATGCCTATTTGTATTATGACTGATCCATTTAATTTTCATCCCGATCAATGTTGTCGTGAGATGCATAAATTAGAATGTCTCCCAATCAGGATATTCTAATTCCCGATCAATTCATCTCATATTCCACTGGAGACCAATACAAACTGATCCAACTTTAACCAGATTCAGTCAGAAGGAGACTCGTTCACATGGCAAGTTGTATACCACCTGATGTAGGGCTTTCTGTTCTGGTTCCCTGTCAAACAAGAATTACAAAAGAAAGATGGTATTCTGTTTGCATGAAGTATTCTTTTTTGTGACAAGAAGATACTTTGGTTCAATCAATGCTCCAAGCAACCTTGTGATTTTGTGTTACTTGGTCGGTTTTTGAATTGTAGAAAGACTTTGAAGTAATTAAAGGTATACATGTGATGTTTTTGTGTTAAAATAAAAACACCAATTTACTTCTCTTTCTTTGTGTGGCCAAATTAGGAATAGATGGCTGGCTCTTATATTTGTGCAGCTGAACCAAAAAAATTGTTTTGCACTCGCTTAATTAGAAATATGGCTCAAAATTTGTATGATCATTACACTGGAATGTCGTAACATTTTCTTCCACAAAAGCCATCAAACAGTCACCAATTGAACATGATATGCTGTTAACTAGTTCGCATCTACGTGAAACTAATAAGCTAGATAATACACAAGCTATGAACTATGTGATCAACACATCAATATTGCAGATTTCCTAAAAAAAAATAATCACATGCTAATTTTCAGATGTCCTTTTATGATCTAAATCCTTTCTTCACATATGGTAGCATGACCATCCAATGTTGCTGCAAAATCCTTTTGGAAGTTTCACAGTAAGTGCACAAGAAGTGAATGAAATAATGAAAAAAAAAAAGTGAAGCATTTGTTGTTGATGTTTGTTGTTTTTTAGTTTTGGGCTATTGCATATTTAACTTTTACCCATAGTTAATGCTCGGCTGTCTTTTGTTTGCAGCTTTTTGTGCGAGGAGAGAAGTTTAACCAGCCAATATTTCATTGTAATAACATATCTGGATTTGTGGAGCCTGTACGTTTAGAGAGAAGTACTCTTGATCATTTATCTCAACATCTTACATTACACAACTACGCAATTTCATCCTGTTGTTTCTACAACAGGTAGTTCCAGAGGGTGAGCACAGGGCTCTTTACTCAACACATTCATTCAAGATCTTGTTCAAGGAAGGTGGATGTGGAACTTTTGTCCCTCTGTTCTTAAATCTAATTGCAACTGTGAGGCAATATAACCAGCATGCAGCAGCTTACCCTGCTCATGAAGCTGCGCCCCGCATGGACCCACTGCAAGCTGCTCAGACTCCGGTGGATGAAATGATGAGACATGCGTGAGTGGATGATCAGAATTGCATACATTAGTTCCAATGTAGATGCTTACACATTGTCCGGACTTCTCTCATCAACTTTTCTAATGTGCAGGTATGTGGATCCAAACGACCCGACTAAAATCTTCTTGCAGCAGCCGACACCTGAATCTCAACTGAGGCGAAGAACCTACCATCCTCAGTCTGCTGAGAACTCGTACTGAGTGTGAAATCAAGCCATCTCATGCAATAATGAATACAGATTCTGATGTTATTAAGCTCTTACATGTGTATCTTTTCATATGACAGATGTGAAAATGGGTGTTGAAAACATTTGGTAATATGTTAGTAGTAAAATTGTATGTGAAGCTGATATTTTGCTTGCATGGATTTGTGGATTCTGGTAGATCGTTCAAGGTGGAAATTAGTCTCTGCGACTTTGGAGACAGATTCTATCACTGCCATTATTAGTCTGAGGTTAAAGCAAGCCATGGTGGAATGTCATTTGCTCTGTTATACATTGCGTGGATTTACAAAATATGTTCCCGTGCGACTTCGATTCACTATGGCTGGCTTTACTCCATATGACATGCTCGTGTCACCCAACATCTTAAATCGAGTATGGGCTATATATTAGACTTCAAAAATATATCTTAAAATTTTTATTACTAAGAAAGTGTAATATTTAGTTTTATTTATCATAATTATAAATATAAAATATTTAATTTTATTTTAATATTATTTTTAAATTTAAAAATGATGGATAAAAATATAATTTTAATGTTCTAGTTACGTTTTATGCAGTGGTGGCTGATAACATCGCTGGAGATCATGGGTGGCTATTATGGTTGTGATCGGTGAGAACGATGTAGTGGTCGAAATGAATGCTGGAGACTTTTGTGACTTCTTAGGGGGGAAGGAGGACGATAAGGAGGGAGAGTAGCTTTGCACTTACGATGATGTGGGGAGTGCATCGCTCATTCTTATTCCCTCCTTTCTCAATCCCTCATTCTTCTTTCTCCCTTGTACATGCCGAGCGATGAAAGGGGAAAGAAGGATGAGGGATCGGGGAAGGGGGGAAGAAGCATAAGTATCACCCTTCCTTGTATTATTGTCAGTGCTGATGTAGATGCAGAGCGACGTCGCTTAGCATTTGCATTTGCATTTGTGCGTTGGTGCTAATGTAGATGTCAAGTGGCTTTTTTGTCGCTCTGTATTTGCGTCGATATCGATACAGTTGTCAAGTGGCACTGACGTAGAGCAAAGCGTCAACACCTATGATGTCCTCTTTTTCCTCTCCTTTTACCTCATTTCTTGGCGTTGCTCTTACTTCTCATCCACAACAACCACTTGTGACCCCCAACGATGTCGTTATCCGCCACCATTGAAAACATAATTGAAATATTGAAATTATCTTTTTGCCCATTGCTTTTGTATCATTTCTGCATGTGCTGTATCTTCCGTCGATAAAATTGATAGCATTAGAGTAAATTAAGTTAAATGTTTACTTTTATAACTATAGAGATTCCAATGTAAATTTTTTAAATATAACGATCGAGATACTAAAGAGGTCTAATTATAAAAGGGTAATATATAATTAGCCCAACCTTATATTTACTGGAGATTAATATAATATGTTCCCATCATTGAACTCATATTGCCGGGGTGTTAGGGTTGACTTTTTATTTTTAATAATAAATAATTTTATCTTTACTTATAAAGATATAATATTTGTTAGAAAAGAACAAATGCAAAGCGACGGTTATCAATGCAGTTGCCGAGCGAGCCTTTCACCACTCTACATCTTCGTCGATGTCTACACAGATGCAAAGCGATCCTTACCTCTCATCATCGCTCTCTCTTCGTATCCACAATAGCCACCTGTAGCCTTTAGTGGTGTCACCACCGTCTACCACCATCAACTAGAACGTTGAAATTATCTTTTATTTTCATGCTTCCATTGGTAAAATCAGTAATGATAAGGTAAATGAACTAGATGTTTCACTTTTATAATTACATTGATTCAATATAAATTTTTTAAGTCGAAGGACCATGATATCAATGAGGTATAACTAAAAGGGGGTATTATAATATTTAATTAGCCCTAGTAAAGAGAGGCATGAGAGAAAATAGAAGTAAAAAAGGAGGAGGAGATAGGGAGGAAAAGTAAAAAAAATTATTAAATTATTATGTTCGAGTTCAATAACTACGCTTCTAGTTATGCTTATCATACGAAAAAAAAATCTGCATGTAGATTCCAAATTTTGAACCACAATTCACTCTTCAAGGATTTTAAATGTAAATTTTCAAAGATAGAGAAAAAAATTGAAGGGTTTTACCTCATAGATGATTTGATAAGTTGGATTTATGTTATTCTTCTAAATTTGATGGTAAATTTTTTTTTTCCATGTTTTTGTCGATAACTGTTAAATCTCTGTATGATAATCTTTTGATTATTAGTTGAAAGTTGGAACACTAAATGATATTAATATCCATTAAAAGCTCATCACAATTATAAGAAAATTATAGATACTTTAAATGTTTAATATACATTTTAACTAAAACAAGCAAATGTTAACTACAACTAGCTGTAGTAATATTTAAAGGGATATACCAAAATTTGTTTCCATGAATACACTATTTCCAGACTTAAAAAGAAAAAATACATAGAAAAAAAAATCAAACAAACAAAACACCCAGTTTTACAGAGCCCTTTGTTTTCATCATCCTTTCCATAAGATATTGATACAACATTGTATTATAACAATGAATTTGAACAAATAGTAGCAGCAACATCGCCGTCCTTCACTACAGTATTATTAATAAAATTTGAACTAAGAATCATGAAGACATTGAAGAAAAATATTTTCTGAATTCCAAAAAGCCGAGCTCCTTGAATGAATGGTAGAGTTAAGTGCTGCATCACCAGTCTAGGCTAATTTTCTTTGACAGGAAAAGATTGTCAATGTATTGTATGATCGGATTGCACGCGTTGATGAATCTTTGCATTTCCTTATGTACAGACTGATCTGCAGAAAATAGTAGAAATCCTCTAACCTCAGTAGCTTGTACAAATCATAACTTGGATAACGACATATATCGATAAACACAGCATATCGAGCTTGAAGAAAATTCAAATTCTAATGTGAAGTCTGCTTAGGTCATCAGCACAATCATTACCTGGTGTTAGATTGCCTTGAGCAGACCTCCGGATATGGTAATAGGTGAATTGATTAATGTTAGTGGTACGAGAAGAGGTAGAGGAAGATCTAAGAAGACTTTAATGAAAAATATAAATAAAGACTTAAGTACTCTGAACCTAATTAAACATAAGACATTTTACAGATCTCAATGACAACAAAAGATCCATATAGCTGACCCTATATAAGTGGAACTTCGATTTTGTTGTTGTTTAAGAAGCCTATGGAAGCATATAGAGAAACTTTAGTTGTTTTGATGGCAGGATCTACGCAAACTCAGATCAAGGCCTTGGATCCCTGATGCCTGGATAGCTTTAAGCTACTCTTGATGAAACCACATGTATCATATACGAAGAATACAGTAATTAGACATTGCAGCCTCAGAAGCACATGGCTTCATGCTTCTGTGCCTCTTGTCAGACCAGTGAGATGTCCTATAGGAAGAGCAAGTAGCAGCAGCAGCAAAGCATTTCAGAAGAGACTTCCCTTAACAGCCCTTAAGAGACAAATAACTAAGTTCAATTTTTATCATCACAAAACTTCTACATCTTTTGGTGTTGATATGATGCAGATCGTAAACAGTGATATATAATACCATTGATTATTATATAATATAGTGATATATAATACAAATAGAAGGTTTTTACCCTACCTGTCAAGCCAAACCAATCCCCACTAAGGTTGACTTGAGCCCCACACTAGTGCTTGTCGCCTCCAGACAACAAAGTTACAATGACCAAGAACAAGAAATTTACATAGTAGACACAATAAATGAGGGAGCATATTACACACAAGAAAAAGAAATCAGGTACATTTACTAATAGCCTAAATAGTTAGAGGATTAAGTCTTGTCTCATAGTTAATTTTTTCTTTATCTGGAATATACAATTAAGGCAATTATACACAATACAAACCCATGGAAAAAAAATTATTGATTCCATTTTCAGAAATAACTGTTAAGCAGCACAAAAAAGCACCCTATATTCATGAACGTAAATATTTCTTAACAAGAACTCATTTTGTAATAGATAGATACATACATATGAGTGGAAGGACACTAACCAGTTTCGTTTAATCTCACTATTAGCTGTTCCCTTGTTGGTAGAGCATACATCCCAGCACCCACTGCCTTTCTGATTGCCCAGGTATGAAACGGTGCACAAACTTGACCATAAGCATTTGAAGCAGCTTCTTTTAATGAGCACCCACTGAAATACAAGTATAATGTACAGATGTGAGTTAACCTAAATAATAAGAAGACAAAATGTAACTCACTCATTTTATAAATGAAAAGGAATTTTAATGATATTTGCGCAATGTACATCTCTAGCATGCCATGCATATTGCTGAATTATAGCAAGTATGAGCCAATTTTCCGTGCTAAAACTGGACAGAAATTATGAACTCAAGAAGTGCTAAATTTATTTTAATTCATGGAATAAAAGTTTACTTAGAGCAGATACATGCTTTATTTGGCTATCTATGAACTTCTAAAAAGAAGCCATTAAGAAGGAAGTAATCTTCACAAGCGGAACTGCAAAAATAGTCTCTGTAATTATCCGGTTATAAGTTGTATGAAACTACACATATCAAAATATTGGCATTTTAAAGTTGGAGATTGAATTGGGTATTTCATTCTACTAATGAGAATAGCAGAAACCTACGCTTCAAACTAGATTGTTCTCTGCTAATTTAAGCCAGAATCAGTTTATCAAAATGGTAGGCCCAATCTACAACATCTATGTGAATGTTATAAAAATAAAATAAAACAGAAATAGAACTCTTTGCCTCATCCGCTGAACATCAATTCTGATAAGTACTATGATCGTGACATCACCTTGTATAATTTTAATTATAATAACAAAATCCCTCCTTGATTTGGCAAAATTATCCTCCTCGTAGGAATTTCAAAAGAAAGAAAGAGAAAAAGGAAAGAAAGAAATATAATTGCTCCCTTCTTGGTTTGGCCAAATGCTCCTCCACTGAGATATTTCAGAAGAAAGAAAAGAGAAAAGAAAACAAGCATTATAACGGCTAGTATGAGTAGAAATTTGAATCAGTCGCAACTTGCTTATAAAGTGTCAATTAAAGCTCCAGAAGATATTGTAATTGTTGTCCTGGAGACATGCATCATTATCAAGCAGTGAAATACTTTAAAACTGTTATTCTTTTTCAATTTTCACCAT